TGTGTGTGTGTGTGTGAGAGAGAGAGAGAGAGAGAGAGAGAGAGAGAAGGTTTCAGTGTTTGCTCACTCGGAGATGCGCACGCGCAGTGGCAGCCTCTCTCCTCTCTCTCTCTCCCCCCCTCCTTTCCTCCCCCTCTTTTTCTTTATGGGTACTTGGGGCAAGGTGGGGATGCCTCTTCACCCCGGTGGCCTTCTCTCATTTTCCTGTTGTGGAAGAACAGTGGCGTCTCCCCACGGAGGGCTCGCCTGCATCTTAAGCACCAACAGAGACAGGAGGGTCCCTGGCCTGCCCCCCCCTCTTCTTCTTCTGAATCCTCCACCCTTTTTTGGGATGACCCCACACACCCTTCGTGCAAGGATCTTACCTGTCCCCTTGGCTTTGCTCAGGCTCCTGCCCTCGCCTCCCTTGCATTTAGAGATATTTTCTTTAAAACCTCTCCGTTTGCTCCCCACTTTTCTGACTTTTGCTCACCGTCCTCTGGCCAGTTTCCCCGATGCTTTGGGAAGGACCTTTGTTTTGGGTTTTATAGGCTGTTTGTGAACTTGGCTTTCGGGGAACTCTTGTGCTCGAATAATTTAAAACCTGTTTTATTGCCCTTAGGTGGAAAGCAGATAGGTGCCCCCAAAAAAGAGAACTTTGTGGGATTGAGCCCTTTGTTGACACGACTGGACTTTGCAGCTTCTGTTTTGAGGAAGGTGCAAGAGTGATAAATATTTATGTTCCTTCAGGGCTTTGTGTGGGGAAGTATGTTTTATCATGCTTTCAAAGGCGGGTTGTTGTTCCGTTACACTAGGCCCCCATCCAATGGTTTTATCTTCTCTCACCAGGAGCTTGGAAAAACCACCAAGAATCTGTGAAGTAATTGTGGATCCTTACACTACGGTGACAGTATCTCAAGGAATCTGTTTTTAAGCATGTTGGACTGAACACTGTGACGTTTCTCCTTGTGTTCAGAGATAAGAAGCCTCTGGATTGTTTCTGCCCCAGAACCAAAAGGGATATTTGCAACATAGAATATAACTGTTCCTCCGATTCTCCCTGGAAGACAAGTGGATTATAACCTTACTTTCTTCTGGGATTCTTCAGCCTTTTTTTGTGCGCCTTGCAGATCTTTACACTTAAGACTTTCTTGGTGGAAAGGAACTACCTCTATGCATTCTGCTGTGCCAAAATAGTAATAATAAAAACAATAGTTGCCTGAACTGCAGCAATTTTGACCAAGAACTCTAAGAAGGCCACTGATGGGTGCATGTTAATGCCAGCAGTCTGCTGTGGAGCCAGTGAACAGCCCAAAACATACAGGTGAACTTTTGTCCAGATCTGTCAGCTGTTTCTGAGAACAAGAAGTTGGATCATATTTGCCTGATAAATGGGAATCTTCAGACTAATCATCTGCGAAATACTAGCATACAAAATTATGGGATGTTACGCTTGTTCCGATTTTGGCTGTGCTTTTGGAAAATACACTTGATAATCATTCATGTCCAGATTGGGTTGTGTAATTCATCAGTCAATGCTAGTCATGGGAGTATTAGGTAATGCTGCTGGCGTCTGTGCCCTTTTGAGTGGTCTTGTTCCTCTTACTACTTAGTGCTGCAGCTAGCTCTTGGTTAAAAGTTATCAAAGAAGTAATATTTTTCCTCCTTCCATTCTTGCTGCCAAGATGGCTTCTGTCCGGTTCATGGTTACTCCCACTAAAATTGATGATATCCCAGGCTTGTCTGACACCAGTCCAGATCTCAGCTCGCACTCCAGTTCCCGTGTCCGCTTCAGTTCCAGAGAAAGTGTCCCGGAAACAAGCCGCAGCGAAGGGGCCAGTGACTTTTCTAGAGTAACAACTTCACTGGCTACTGATGCAGCCGAGCCGGCTACTGACAAGACAAGTAACCCTCGTGCAGATGTGGCTGAAGGTAGGTTGCCTTTGCTATAGTGAGTAGAAGTCATACTGTGGACAATAGAGAATGCCAGTTTGGTGCTAGAGACTTGCAAATGGCTAAAAATAACCAAAGATCCTGTGGCACCCTAAAGTTGAACACATTTATTATAGGATGAATTTCCTTCAGGTGTAATCCATATAATCAGATGTGTACAATATCATACAGGATCTCGGGGACGTCTGTAATACACATGAGAGTTGATTTGGAAGAGTGAGAGCCAAGACAACTTAAATGAGGAAAGTACTGGCAGTGGCAGTTAGTTTACTAACAATGGATAATTAGGAAATCATTTCTGATATTACTCACATCAAGACACAGTGGCTATCTCTGTGTATATGTATGTGTACAGACACACACATCAGTGTGTGCTTATATATATCTGTGAGTATCTGAATAATGCTTCATATATCTTTTAGGTGCTCTAGGACTCTTGGTTTTGAAAATGCAGTGGGTCTTAACGGATATGTTGGAGGTGCATAGTATTAAAATTATGTATAGGTTGGAAATTTTGGGAAGGACAGTTCAGTTCTTTACTGTACTGGAGCTATGAAGTGTTTGTTATGGCTTGAGAAATGTAAGATTGTGTTGAAACGGCAGGGAATTTTGAATGGCTCTGTCTTGGTCCAGGTATATGTTTCTTATTATTGACTTTCTGTTAGAAGGCATTTTCAGATATAGCTGCATTTTCCCAGCGTAGGATTCTGAAATATCCTTACCTGTTCAGCCTTGTCTTTTTTTAGTCAAGAGTTTGACTAATATGTTTCAAGCCATTGAAGAGAAAATGCACTTTTCCCTTGAATTTCACAGATCTGAGCAGAATGGTCTTGATGTACATGGTTTTTAAATGAATGAATGAATATTCAATAAATACGGTGCTGCTATTTGTCTCCAGTGGCCTGAGAAAGGTGGCTCTTGGGCTTATTCAAGCCCCTTGTGGGTGACCATGCAGTGGTCCCTAGTTTGATTGCATTCCCCAGCCTTCCCTCACTCCTGTCATGGTGGCTCCACATGGCATCAGGGGAGGGTCCTGGGCTGTGCTGGCAGGCTGAGGTGGGTTGGGGGAGGTCTGCACATGTTAATCAACTGTTTATGTTTTCTAGTTACATTTTAGGAGCATTAGAATTATATATGGATTTTGAACTACATACATAGAGGTCCAGTGCCCCTAACCCCAGGGTTGTTGAAGGGAAAAGTGTATTTACTTTTAGAATATCTTGATTCCTCTTGCTGGGAATAGCTGTCTGCTTTTTAGTTTCTAGAACAAAAGTAACTGTGTTTTCTAAGTGCAATGGTGTCTGTTTGAGGGTTTCTGGCATTGCTGATTAGTCTAGTTTTTAAATTTTTCCTCTCACGCAAGAAAATGCTGAGCAAGCCTCATGGGAAATGACTTGGGAGAAATTCAGTTCCCTGACTCTTGTTTATTCTCTTGTCTAATGCATTTAAGGAGTGTTAAACAATGTCTGAGGTCAGACTAGGCTTTGCTCAATCAGCACTGACTCAAAGTCACATCTTCCATTGTGGGGCTTATGAATGGCAACATTGAACCCTTAACTGTCTTTGTAGATTCAGTCAGGCTGTGACCTATTAATCGTCTTGGGATAGTTATTTTGCATACACTTTGGATCTTTGTTTTTTGAAGCACACTAAAAATACTGCATAGAAAGGTCATTCACTTATGCACAAATGTGCAGGTCCTGAAATCCATCTTCCTTGAATTATATTGGTTGTGAAAGGGCCCAAATTCCTCAAATATGTTCAAGATTAAAGAGAAGCATTATTCTAAATAGTGAGTTGAGTTACCATGGGACAAAGGAGTTATCCAAAAAGGCCTGTATAAAAGAAGAAATAACACTTGTGTGGGCTTGTTTTTTTAAAAAATCTGTTTGACTATGTGTAGTAAGTTATCAGCAGTGTGCAGTGGTGCTGGGAAGCATTTGTACATTGAGAATCAATTCTTTTCCACCCATCCATGTCTGATAATGTGCCACAGATTAGTTAAATGAAGTATTGTTGTTGTTGTTTAGTCGTTAATATAGTATACATGTATTTAAATATACTCCTAATAAGTTCAGTAATAGAACAGACTGCCTCAGAAGGAAGTGGACTCTTCATGGCAGGTTTTTAAACAGAAGTCTGTCCATAATGATTTAGCTGTGGATTTCCTACTTTGGTAGAAGTTTGGACTTTATGACCCTTGGAGTTCTTTATATCTCTATATTTCGATGATTCTGTTCTATGTATGAGGTAAGCTAACTTAGTCTTGATATGCAAGTAATGTTTCTCTGTGATCTTTTTTGTAAGCATGCAACTGGTGGTATAGTGCTCGGGTTTTGTCATTATAGGGTGTGGGTACTCCTATGTATGTTTTCCCATACCATGTATTTCAATGCAGTATCAAAGTGGTATCATGCTATAGAATTCCCAGTGTGGTGTAGTGGTTAGAGTGATGGACTAGGATCCTGGAAAACAGGGTTCAAATCCCCACAGAAACTTACTGGGGGAGTGGAATCAGTAAAACTACTTCATAAATATCTCACCTACCTTGAAAGCCCTATTAGGGTTGCTATCATTCGGTTCCAATGTGATGGTACATAACACACGTAATAAATCATGCTATATCCTAGAGTTTGAATAGTTTAAATCCAAATGCCATATTAGTATCATACTTTTATTAAGCCAGCCAGAAAAAAGCATAAAATTTAGTACAGTCTTGAGATCCCCAGATATGTTTTTCAGGCTAGGTGTTCAAAAAGGAAAGTGCGATGGGGAAAGAGGAACAATCAGAAAAGCACTAACAAGACTTGATCTGTGAGTCTTTATGGGGTTTTTTGTGCCTCCGTCCAACCAGCTGGAGATGCAAAGAGATGTAAAGGCATATTACATTTGTTCATGCTTTTGTCTCTTTCATCTTTTCCCTTCCCCTTACCTTTTGCAATACCATGTTGTGTAAAGAGATATCTGGAAAGTTTGCACACAATTCTGTGGGTTTTTTTTAATGGCTTACTGAAAATATTATCCTAATGAAGATTTTGGAGTATGTTGTGTGGCCAAGATGGCTGCCTATATATTCTGAATGTTTAAAATGTCTTCCAGTCATTTAGATTATTGGGTTCCAAAACTTGAGGCCCAAAGTGTTCTTGAGCTCCAACACCCAGAAGAGCTGACCACAGGGTTTCTGGGAGTTATAGTCCCAGAACATTTGTGGTCTGCGCTTGGAAACAACTGACTGATTGTATCCCACTCTATAATTAAATAAGAACTGCTTTTCATAGCTTCTTTTTGACATTGTATATATTCAATTCTAACAAAAACGTATTTGTACTTCAAAGAGTAGAAAAAGTTACTCCTTCAGAGAACTTCTATTCTGACCCCTTCTCTCCTGTCCTAAAGAATGTTGCATCTAATACTTGTGCATGAATGAACTGTGCTTTGAGTTTCTCTTATGTGAGTGGAGGGTGTGATCAAGGGGGTGAGTGCACTGAAACATGGAAGTGGGATCATTTGTTTATAAGATTTCTTACAAGAGTTCACGCTAGAGAAAGTTATATACTGTATTTTTCTTTTATGTATCCTTCATGATGTTTTATAAATTGCCGCTTTATTGTCTTATATTGTACTGTTGTTGCTCATTTTCCTCTAACAGCAAGCAGACACTAATAAATCAATGTATTCTCGAAATCTTTCACAGCCGGGATCTGAAAGATCTGAAAGAGCCCAAAAAACCCACAACAACTAATAAATCAGTCTCGCATTGTGAAAAGCAATTAGACAAAGTAGTCATCTCAAGGTGCATCCATATCCTTTCTTTACTATATTACACCCTAGCCCAAATCTGTTGCTGTTTGTGTTACTTGTTGCAAATTTTATGTTACTGATTGCAGCTAATTAATGAGGTGCTGGAGCATATCTCGGTTATGTGCCAGATTGCATGACTGAAATGCTGCCCAGCATCCTGTCAGCTAGCTGCAAGGAGCAACAGTGAATTGCACAAATCTTATGAGAACACCAGTAGGACTCCAGCCTATAAAACATATGACAATTCAAGGGTATGTGATTGAAGGATATAGCAGAATAAGCTAGGCTGGTGCGCTAACCAAGAGGCAAAGAGGAATCAATCTGGAAGCATCCAAAAATGCAGTTTAGTGATTATTTTTCAGCAAGAATTTGAAAAAACAAGTCAGCCTTAAGAAGTACAAGATTATTGTTGATCCTGTGACTTCCAGAATCAGAAGCATTCTGGTTTGTCATGTGGTTTACAGTACTTGTAGTTTCTCCTAATTAGTGCCTCTGATGATAGAGGCAGAAAGGAAATCAGTATCGTTGCCCACACATCTTCCTTGCAGTGGTTTTACTGGAAGTCTCAAGATGTTGTATCCCACTCATGCCCTTGATTAGAAACGGTGCTCCAAGTCTCTACATTGTTTTCAGACAAAAGAGTCTTTGTAACTGTGTGAAACTGTATACAAAAATAAACAAAGAAATTACAGGAGGCCAGATTTTGGCTGAATATCAGGAAGGGCTTCCTCCGTTATTCTATGATTCTACAGTATAACTGTTTCATATTCAGCATGATCTGCTTTTTTTTCTGTATCCTAGAATACAGTATCTTTTTCTGTTCCTATTTTCATTTCTTTTCTCTAAAGCAGTGGTCCTTTCCGCTTCCCATACCCTGTCAGGTTACCCCATGGCATTTGTATAGTACGTTCCTCCTTCTCTAGCTTGCTTGTTTTCAGGCTTTTCAGGGCTTTACCAGAACCAAAGAAGTGTAACTGGTCTTGAAATGTGAGTCATTGATATCAAATGTCTTGCTAGACTTAGAATCATGAGATCAAAATAGCAGAGAGTTTTGCATTTCAACTGTCCTTTGATTTTCTAGAAACTTAATTTGTCTCTTGCATCTCTTGTTTCTCAAATGCACATATGGGTCCTTTCCCATGGTTGATGGAGTTTTAGGCCATTATTGTGAGCCAGGA